CTCCATTCTTGTCAAGAAACAAGAATACATCAACAATAGTATTGAAAGTGGACTCAATATCTGGTGAACCCATCTTAGATGTCTGAAACAATCACCGAGTCATCATCAGAAGAAGAATTCAGGGCTTGCTAACATGTAGCACAATCAAATGACAAAAAGAAATACAACTGAGATTACCGTGGATGCTATATCCGGAGAGGAATCAGGTTCCATTAGAAGATAGATGATACACAGGAGAACAATGAACTCATTGAACTGTATTCCTTGACTCCCATCAACGTCACAGGAATAGAACAGATCCTCAACCTCCTCTTCAGATAAATGAAGTTGCAGTTTTTCTAAGCACTTTTTAAGTTCCTCATAGTCAATGGATCCATTATTGTGAAAATTGTGCATGCTGGCTCAACACAAGGTTTGCATCCAACTTAAAACCAATTGGCAATAGGTGGAGTGGCCTTCCTTGTATTTAACCCACAAGCTTCTTATTTTTATACTTGATGTGGGATTTTCCCACTTAACACGCCCCCTCACGTGCAGGCCCTCTATGAAGTCGGGTCCTGTCACGTGGGTTAACTTGCCCCCTTAAATGTAGGCTTGGTATTTTCAACTTCACATCCTAGTAGGTGGGCTAACAACGAGCTTTCCAAGACAAAATTTGGGACAAAATTTGGGCTCTGATACCATGTGAAAATTGTGCATGTGACCTCAACACAAAACTTGCATCCAACCTAAAACCAATTGGCAATAGGTGGAATGGCCTTCCTTATATTTAACCCATAAGCTTCTTATTTTTATACTTGATGTGGGATTTTCCCACTTAACGTGCCCTCTCACGTGTAGGCTCGTTATTAATGTTGGGTCTTGTCACCTAGGTTAACATGCCCCCTTAAATGCAGACCCGGTACTTTCAACTTCGAGTCCTAGCAGGCGCGGTACTTTCAACTTCGGGTCCTAGCAGGTGAGCTAACAACGAGCTTTCCAAGATATAATCTGGGCTTTGATACCATGTGAAAATTGGTGGAGTGGCTTTCCTTGTATTTAACCCACAAGCTTCTTATTTTTATACTTGATGTGGGATTTTCCCACTTAACATGCCCGTGTAGGCCCGCTATTAATGTCGGGTTCTGTCACCTGGGTTAACACGCCCCCTTAAATGCAGACCAGTACTTTCAACTTCGAGTCCTAGCAGGCCCAGTACTTTCAACTTCGGGTCCTAGTAGGTGCGCTAACAATGAGCTTTCCAGGATAGAATCTGGGCTTTGATACCATGTGAAAATTGTGCATGTGGCCTCAACACAAAGCTTGCATCCAACTTAAAACCAATTGGCAATAGGTAGAGTGGCCTTCCTTGTATTTAACCCACAAGTTTCTTATTTTTATACTTGATGTGGGATTTTCCCACTTAACACACCCCTTCACGTGCAAGCTTGCTATGAATGTCGGGTCCTGTCACGTGGGTTAACATGCCCCCTTAAATGCAAGCCCGGTAATTTCAACTTTGGGTCCTAGCAGGTGGGCTAACAATGAGCATGACAGAATCTGGGCTTTGATACCATGTGAAAATTGTGCATGCGGGCTCAACACAAGGCTTGCATCCAACTTAAAACCAATTGGCAATAGGTGGAGTGGCTTTCCTTGTATTTAACCCACAAACTTCTTATTTTTATATTTGATGTGGGATTTTCCCACTTAACAGTTAGAGTCTTCATCTGTAAGAGGGAGAGGGAGAGTCAGGGTCAGTTTGCAGCAAACCTTTGTGCAAAAGCTGAGAAAACATAAACACAAACTTCCTTTAA